TAAATAATCCGATATTCTGCTGTTGGTTCTTGATTTAAAAAAATTAAAGAAATTAAAACTGTATATTTGATTATGTTTACAACACATACAATACTTATTTGTATAAGAAGAATTTACACTCTGCATGCGCTTATATCGGACCACATCGAAAGCATTTTATTTAAACAGCTTTGAAGTTGCATCCTGCATTTCGACGGAAAGAATGAATAGTAACGTTTTCTGCTGAATGTTCAGTGACGCAATCTACTAAATGCACAATGATGTAACCTATCCGATGCACAATGAACAGGGACTTACTTCACTCGGAAACGATTAGTGATTCTATAGTTTTAAAGTTTCGAGATACGCTTCTTAATTTTTCGAAGGAAAGTCAAGCCGTTATCTGCATTATTTTAATATTATATGAGCCGCAAACTTACTCTCTCTTGAAGAGGATACCAATGTGGCGTTGGATCGTCGAATATCTTGTTTTCCAGCGGCATTCGCACCTCGCCGAGGAAATCGTTGCGACCGAACATGTCCGAATGCCAGACCGTCAGCCATAGTGTTCTTGTCTCCAGACCACCCAGACTCATATGGAACTAAAATCGCGAGATGACAAAACATCTCTAATTGTCATGCAAACAAGCAATGGATGATTATGCCAATTCACGTTGGACAACTTACCTTCAATGTTTCGTTAAACTCTGGATTTAATGTGTGTTTTTTCACTTTCGTCTTTCTTTTACCGCTTTTCGATTTATCTGGCAGCAAATATACCTTGACGTATCTGGGAGAAGGAAAAAAGAATAAAAAAATAAAAAAATTATAAAAATCTGAACATATTTAATTTTCAAAATATTATCTTTTATAAGCAATGCTTATAAAAAATATTTGTAAAACGAAGTATGAACGGAGAATAAGATTAAATTATATATTTTTGTATAAAGAAATAATGAAATTTATTCTATTTAAATATAATAAAAAAAAAATGGACGACTAAGTAGACGCACATTATGATAGCTTTAAAGCTGGGCTACTTACGGATCCGATCGTTTGCGCTTTACATCTACTGGCGCGAGGTTCTTGCACTTGGTCACGTGCACCTCAAACGTCAAATTCTTGTAGTCGTACTGCAAGGCGAATTCTACCTCACCTGTGACTACCACGGATCGACAACAACGTCCCTCACCCGCACCACTGTATACCGACGCCATCGAGTCCGAACGTGCCTGGAATCGCGAGAATTAGGGTCGTGAGGACTTTAGAACGGTGATCTCAGAGTCGTAAAGTTCGCGTCGTTCTCCCGGTGAGTGTGCCTGTCTGCGTTCTGTTAATCCAAGTGAGATGCAACGGTGCAATCTACTTCGCGTTAAATCGCAATAATAGATATGGTTTCTCTTGGGAATAAGAAGGGCAATGGGTTCGAAACGTAGCTAGCTGCATTCTGACATCCATCCTCCATGCACGATAGGCGAACAAGAAATTTTTACCGCATTACAACTTACCCCGAGACTCGACAGAGACGACCGAGTGGCGAGATGGCCCGGATCGATATCGTCCATATCTAAGACTGTATGACTAGAGCCTGCTCGTGATCCTGCTCCGATAATTGGCGTGCTGCATGCTTCCGACAAACTGCTTCCATCGTCTATGTATAATCACAAGGAAACTTGATTATTCAAACTGATTCAGTGTCCAATTTGTCAAGAGATAACAAGAATAGAAGATAAAGTTCTGTTTAAAAAAATATTCATGCAAGCTTCAAAATAATCATCAATGTCATTTCAATAAGTATACTTTCGAAGGTCTTGCTAAATATTAGTAAATACAATTTTGTCATTGGTTCGATCAATTAATTTTATTCTTCATTTCAATTAAATTTCAATAATGTATAAGATAATATAGGATATAATTTATAGATGATAATAATAGTCGTATTTAATTTATTTGTCTATTTTAATTAAAATTTTTTACTTTAAAATAATTTAAAGATTTTTGTAATTGTTTTAAATAATTTTTCATTTGCGCACATAAGTCTTTATATTTTTCATATGAATTATATTTATATGCACTTATATATATTTTATTATATTATATTTATTATATTATGTTTAATTAAGTATAATTATAAATAATGTCGATTAAATTTTTCTACTACTTTTGCCGTCTCTTCAGGTCTAATATTATGTTGCTTTTTAACTAACTTATTATCAATTCAGGAATATTCATCGCGGACTCTTTCTGCTGTTCGTATCGCGTTGAGCATTTGGCGAAGATATTCGCGGGAAATTCTAGCTCTGAATCGCTCTGTGACGCTTTCTTCTCATTAATAATCAACAGTGATTTCTTCTCTTTCTTCGAAAGGATTGGCAGACTTCCGATTACGCATTTCATTCCGTTGTTCAAACTTCCACTAGCAAACGAAAATTTGCTCTTTGAATCTGAGGTATTGATCAAGAAATCATCCTTGCGACTTGCCAATGAAGCTTCGCTGTTGACATTGGATGTCTGCAGAAACTCATCTTTCGATATCTCATATTTACGTTTTGTCAGAGGAATTTTCTCCAACGTGAGTCGACTATCATTTTCCAATTTTACAGAATCGATAGGTGAAATCTGCAATTCGATGGACTTCGTCTTCTCTTCTCTATTCATTTTATTCGCATCATTCGATTTTGAACGCGAATCTGTTTTTTGTCCCGCGTAACAAGAACTACAGCAGCACTCTAGCAAACAATTCGAAGCAAGACGTTGCACAATTTTACTAGTGGTCCAAGATTTTCGAGTAGAAAATTCTTTGAAAGTTGAATAACGGGTACCCTTTGCCATTCTTTTTGCATTAATTCAATTTTTGGACTAGATAAATTTTTCTCACTGGCTAATTATTTTTATTTTGTTGTCTTGATTCATACCTCGGAGCGAGTTTACGAAAATCAGAGTGAGTTTCACTAAATTATACGAAGATAAAGATTTTGTCTCACGTTAACTTTCTATTAAACTCTCTAATAAAAGAATATTATTTATTATTAAAGATTTAAAATTAAAAGTAATAATATTATATATATAAAATAACATTTAATATTTGCTGATTATAATAATAGGAAATGTCGAAAGAGATGTAATGCAGAACGAAACACTCGTTATACTGATGGATTTGTTCATGTAAAGAACATTCGTTCTTTAGCTAAACGGAACAGGGACAGTGATAATATTTTTCCTTCCTGCCTTTCTGAACGAATAGCATGTTAACAGTGTTTACGTTCAAGGCCCAGTATCTGGCGAGTTTTGATAACGACTTTTGGTACGATAATTGTTGACGAAGAAGTCGTAAAATCATACAGAAAATCCCTACACGAAAAAAGAATGTTATTTAAGTAATGATACAATTTAAAAAATTTTTTTTCTTAGATATTTAAATTTTTAATATATATTTCATATTTATATATTTTTAATTTGTTCTGGATCAGTCTTTCACCTTTTTTTGTATTAAAATTTCATTGTTAAATTTCGTTGTTTATCGATTTCACGATTCTCATTTGTGTTTCTTGCAACTTGACACGATACTTATCTGTCTGTCTGTGCGCATAGACTGCATTATGTTTGCGAAACAATATGCAAATTTAGTAGATTTGTTAAAATAGATAAAAAGCAAACATTCCTAAATGTATCTTATGTAAGTGTCACGTTATAAAAGCAGACATTTGCTTTTTACTTACTGTTAAGTTGATCAACATTATGCTGAATAATGGCGAAATGATTGTAATGAACAATTAAATGTTGGGTAATATTATTTACCGATAATCAACGTGATAGTTGTTGTTTTGCAATGCAACCTAATCATGTCCGATAAACATTCCGATAACGTTAGAGTTAGATGCGCGCGAATCAATTTACAGCTTTTGTAAATAGATGAATGTGTGCCAAGGTGAACGCAAGATATCGCCGCGCTTCGTCTGAGAAAAATGACTTTCATATGTGCAAATACGTGTATAGCGAGCTCTATCAATTTCGACGTCATCAGTCAAAGAAAGTTTGTCATAATCCCACATAGATGTATCTAAGAAAAGTCATTCTTCACATTTAATTGTATTATATTGTATCACAGTATTATATTATCATATACGTTACTGTATAATTAAAACTGAATTTTTTAAATTTTACATGGAAAGGACACTTAAAATGGTTGTTAAAACGTCAAATCTTTTTATAACAACGTTTATTGTGCTTAAGATTCCTAATTATTTTTATAGTCTAATAAAATTTTCAGATTTGTATTTAGCTAAATTTTTAGATACTTCAACAAAATTATTCTTTTCGTTTTTAATATAAAGTTTTCTCTTTAATATAAAGTTTGTCTCTTTTTCTTTTAATTAATTTTCTGAGAATTAGCTGTTTTACATTTCGTAGTATGTAATTTAGTTCGTCGCAGACTGTCACTAAAATTAAGATTGATTCTCGTAGACACTCCCGCGAGTTCATGTCCCACGCAATACGAGATGGGGAAGGTTAATTAAATCACCCGGTCCTTCCGAGCGCAAGTAATCATGCGTCTGTCTCGTCAGCAATAATTTCGCCACCATCGGATTGTCTTTCTGCGAATTTAATCTTGCTACCTCCAGTTCTCATCGCATGGACGCAATTCGCCTGTTATTCACATGTACGCGTACACGTACGTGAACACCGTATCAGGGACATAGTACTACGCATTGAGAACGTGGGCGAAAGTTCCGTAGTGCCTCGCTGGATACAAGAGAATTCACAATCCGTTTCAAAACGGTCGATTAGGCAAATTTATCTGTTAATCGTAATAAACATAATACAAATGAAATTACAAAAGAAATTATGTACTTGGTGAATAAATATATAATTAATTTTTCAACTCTTCATACGTATTTCTATCATTTTCGTGATATATTTAATAAGTAAATTTCTATAATTGTATTTAGTCAGATGTTACTTTGGCAAATGCTTTTATTCAATTTTTCCGGCATTACACGTTTATTATTTATTACATGTTCGATATCAATCATTCTATTTTATTTTGTTATCATTTTTTTCTTTTTTTACATGTTTGATATCTATTCCGTATATTTTTTTTTAAAAAACGCTATTGTACGTATTTGAGAATAATTAAATTATTTCACTACCGGAGTTATTTGCTAGAATCGTGGAAAGGATTGTATGCATGTATACGATTCACCACATACGCAATAATCCGCATTAGCAATTATCAAATTACTCTATCAAAGCATGCAGGATGTATTACTGTAATAAATTAATGTCTAAAGAGTTGTTTTAATTAATTTCTAAGTAACATACAGTAAGTATTCGTACAAGGAAATTTTTTTATAAAAAAAGTCTTATTTGTAGAAAATAACATTAATTAGCAATTTTATGCAATATATTCTGTGAATTTTATGCAATATATTTTATGAATATATTCTAATTTTATGCAATATATTTTATGAATATGTTCTGTTTTAATAAAAACAAACGAATTTCGCATGTATTCCTGATTTTAGAAGATAAATTTCTCAACTGTACAAATACTTTTTGAGCATCCAACAATTACAATTTTTAATTTTTTCTTATTTTTCAGATAATATATTTTCTATAATTAATACACATCTCTTTGGTATATAATTTTAAGAAATGTACAGTCTATTTTATTCTTTATAAATAAATTGTTAATCAGTAAGAAATAATCGTCAATTATGACGAATCGATGTTAAATTGATGTTGAAATCATTGTATTGATATTGATTTAACATCAATGATTCAATGATTTGTTTCTCACTGAATATTTACTTTTAAAAAATAGAGCTTTTTTTAAAAAAATATTTTCTCTGTATGAAATATTTTTTGCACTGTAGATAGTGCCAGAAATAAAATTTTGTTAATTGAAAATATTTTTAAACTTAATTATTTATTAAGATTATAATAAATTTTTTAAACAGTCTTCCGACATCTTATATTAATTATTTTTAATAAATAATACCTATATTTATTAAAAACGTATTTTTATTAATTAAAACGTAGAAAGATTGTTTAAAAAAATTAATCTTTATAAATATTTAGGTAGAACTATTAATAAATGCATTCATCAAATCATTTTTTCTGTAAAAAATTAATAATAAAAAAAAGAAAAACAATATAGAAAATTAATCTTATTTTTTATACTGCATTTTCTTTTTATACAACATTGGTCAAAGCAACATATTCACTCGATTTTGTTAATATCGGTCGAAATGAATCATAGAAATCTGAAGGAGTAGTGATGGGTATATAAGAGACGTAACGCGTCCTATTTCATGATTGTCCATGAAGTGAAGAACCTTCTAGTAATCGTACAAAAAGCGTGACACGCATTCAAAACTCACAGCAACGATATTCAACGATATTTTGACTTTTTTAACGTCAGCTTAATCCTTTCCACAATTCGTTCGTTCTAGAATTCTAGTTTTTGGGAATTTTTCTTTTACATTTTATATATTTCGGTGACGCATAAACAAAGCTCTTAAGAAACATAAAAAGATTACGAATTGTTTATATCAGAATTAATATTGATTAACCATGTTTCATTATAATATAATCTAAGATACCTTATATACATTTGCTGTTAGACAGCTTTGTTATGCAATGGAAATA